TTTTATTATAAATTAATATAAAAATAAAAATATAATAATCACTTCATATTATTAAAGACAAAAAATAAATGTGAAACTAATTAGATAAGTATTAATTAAAAACTGTGACAAAAAATTTAAAAATTAAGCTGAATAAATTTGTTCGTAAGATAAAAAAATTTTAATTCATTAACAGTTTGATATAAAAAGCTACCTTAGGTAACTTTTTCAATTTACTAGAAATTTAGATTCTAACCATTGTTCGCTAATTCTAAATTGATAAATAAAAAGTTTTACTCAATACTTAATTTGTAGTGATTTTGAAATAAATAAGTTTATCAAACACTTATTCTTAATAATTTGGGTAAAACTGTTAATCACTACTCCTAAACTATTATATCAAATGGACACTTAAACTACACCTTTATTAGGTATTTAAAAAAAAAACTCATTGGATATTTATTGAAGATTTTCGTCAAGACCATTGGGTATTCATTCATGTTTTTTTTTTTTTTAAGTTTAATGAGTATCTATTTAAGAATTTTTTTAAATATTTTACTGTTACGACAGTTTTATATATAGTTAAGATTTCATAGTAATTTATGCTCCATCAAAATAGCATATACTCTTTCATTTTGCGGTATTAAGATATAGATCAAATGCTGTTATAATTTTCTGCTCCCTTCTTAGGATTGAGTTAATTTTTATATTTATAGTTTATGTTTTGTGCTTTTGGGTCTTTCTGCAGAGCCACCACCTGGAGTTGTACTATACCATGGTGGACACAAGTTCCATGAGGTTTTTCAATTGAAACAAGGGCACTATGCAGATCTCCCTGCTACAAAGATTTCAGAGATGATGAAATCCAATAGTTTAGACGTATGGGATTGACATTAGGCTAACATTTCGCCATCTAAATGACCCCTTTTTTTTTTTTTCTCTGTTTCTCCCCAAAATGTTATTAATTAATTATTATTTGATTGGTCCCTGATGTGTTTTATATGTATTTTATCACCATCTCCTTGCAGAATGCTCCAACTCAATCACTGCTAACTGTTGTGAATGGAATTCTGGATGAAAGTGTCGAAAGAAAGAATGGTGAAATTCCACATGTATGTGTTGCAGTTAAATATTTATTCAAACTTCATGAAAAATAGAAATACGTCCTCAATACATTTATTTATGTGTTCATATATGTATTCTATAGATTTATGTAGGTTAACCGTAACAGTTCTACATACTAACATATTTATGCATGTCTTGCTCTAATGGTTTTGTTGCATGAAAAGTATATACTGACCACTCTTTTTGCTCAGCGTGTAGCTTGTCTACTGAGAAAAGTGGTACAGGAGATTGAACGACGTATATCAACCCAAGCAGAGCACTTAAGAACAGTAAGTATTGTTTTGAATATATGTTATCCATACTTGTTTTCTTCTTAGTTACCTTGCATCAAATTCTTAGTGGTCCTTGTCCTACAGCAAAACAATCTTTTTAAGGCTCGTGAGGAAAAATATCAATCAAGAATCAGAGTGCTTGAGGCCCTAGCAGCTGGGACTGGAGAGGAGCCTAAGGTGAAGAATATAATTTTAACCCAATAAAAATTAAAAAGATAATTTTTTATTCTTTTATAATATTTATTTTCTCCATAGGCAACCTATGTTATAATAACTAAATGAGTTGTTCCTTACAGATTGTCGTGGATCAGCTTCAGCCAATAAAGGTATTATTTAGAGTCAAAAGCGCACGTTGTGTTATTTGACACCATTGAACTACCTCTATTTGATACTCCCCATGGCATAATTGTTTAGCTATTATTTAACACCATTTCTTCAATTCTTCTTTTGAAAATGTCCATTCAGTTATGATGTGGAAGCCCTTTTACTTTATAGTAAAGTTATTATGACACCCTAAATAATTTATTACTTTTGTCTCGAAACAATTATTTATTTTTTTATTTTAAATTTATCTCAAATCAATTATTATTTTTTCATTTTTTAAGGTAAATAAATATTTTTTTTACTTTAATCCTATCATTATCTATTTACTTTAATTAACTATCCAATCACAAAAATCTATTTTTATTTTTTAGTTCTTTTTTAAGGATATTATAGATAAATACATATATTAATTCCAACTTTTTAATTTAGGAAAAAAATCAAAAAATAAAGTTATTTTAGCACAAAGGGAGTACTTAAATGATTGGTTAAGGGAAATGATTTTAGGACAATTTTTTTGTATCATCTTTTTAAATAACCTAACATATCAATTAAACAATTAGTTTTTTTATTCATATGAGACCCGTGATATTGAATACATCCACTCATTTAATGACATGTGAAAATTGTATGAAAAGGTAGTACAAAAATGTTGTTCCCATAGTACCACCCACTAACTAAAATAATTGCAATCAATTTGTAGTTGGTAAAAATAGATAGTATATGCAGAATTTGACTTGCCAAAGAACTATCTAATCTTGTCTGGATGCTTCACCATTTTCATGGGATCTTTTACCCTTTTGGTAGATTGAGAAGCCCCATATAGATGAAAAGGAGAAAGAAGAACAGGAAGAAAAACAAAAAGTTCAAGAGGATGTTATAAGGTTAATGAAAGAAAGAGACAAGAGCAATCTTGAAATCACAGCACTAAAGCAACAAATCACAGCACTGAAGCAAGAGTTAGAAATGGCAAAAAGGACATACGAATTGCACTGCTTGGAAATGGAAAACAAAACTAATGGTTCCAAAGTGGGTCTTGAGGAAAGGGTTAAAGAGCTTGAACACCTTTTGTTGGAAATGGAAGGAAAAGCTATAGGTTCCAAGATAGGGCTAGGGGAGAAGGTAAATGAGCTTGAGCACTTATTGGCTAATTCAACCAGCAAAACAAAAGAGCTTGAGCAACTCTTGGTTGATTCAAGCACTCGGATGAAAGAGATTGAAATAACTTCTGAGTCAAAATGTAAGACATGGGGCAAGAAAGAGAACATGTATTATATGTTTATGGATTTTCAATTTGGTGCGTTACAGGTATGTAAAGTGTTGATATTTTTTTCAATCCTATTATATGCTGCTCAACATCATCCATCTTATTAAAATGATGACAACATTCAGGAGTTAAGGTTTACTTCTGATTCCATCAAGAAAGAAATTCTACAAACTCAAAAGAGCTATTCAGAGGAGTTTAATCACTTAGGTGGGTTAGTTGTTGGGAAGATTTCTTTGTTTCATTCATTTATAATGAAATGATTTCATTGATGAATCTGATGCTATTCAGGACAAAAGCTTAAAGCATTAGCAAATGCAGCTGAGAACTATGATGCGGTTCTTGCTGAAAATCGAAAGTTCTTTAATGAGATTCAAGATTTAAAAGGTGCCACTTTTTAGCATCCATCTATCACATTGAGTTCAAGTTAGTTTTTTAGATGATTATTGTTTAATGTTTAATGTTATTAAATAGGAAACATCAGAGTATATTGTAGGGTAAGGCCATTTTTGCCTGGACAAGCTGGGAAAAATACTATAGTGGAATCTGTTGGTGAAAATGGGGAGTTAACTATTGCAAATCCCTCTAAGCCAGGGAAAGATGCCCAAAGATCCTTTCGGTTCAATAAGGTGTTCGATCTAGCTGCTACTCAAGGTTTTTACCTATAATATTGTCCTTTCTATTATGTCACGTATGGATTGGTTCAATTCATTCCTTATCATGTCTTGGCAATATCCATACACCTTTATTCTTTTAATAACAATAGATTTGAATTTGCTTGTTCAATTAAAGTTTTGCAATGTCTAACTTTGAATATCCTTTCAAACATTGGCAGCAAATGTATATGCCGATATCCAACCCTTTGTTCGATCTGTAGTTGATGGTTATAACGTGTGCATATTTGCTTATGGTCAAACTGGTTCAGGAAAGACCTACACTATGGTATGATCGATTTCATTCTTAAACTTCCTAGATGTTGCCACCATATCATCAAACAATACAATGCATTTTTTTGTCCTTTTGTCTTTCAGATTGGCCCTAATAGAGCATCTGGAGAGGATTGGGGAGTTAATTACCGTGCTTTATCTGATCTCTTCAAGATATCTCAAAATAGAAAAAGTTCCTTTTTGTATGAAATTGGGGTACAAATGGTTGAAATATACAACGAGCAAGTGCGTGATTTGTTGGCAGGTGCCGGTGCTAAAAAATATCCTTTTTAAGTTAGATGGGTAGGCTTCAATAAAAGCATATGATATTTAGGTAGTTTCTTTTCTCTTTACTCGATTGTTGGTTCATATCTGATAAATTCCATAATAGCTCTTCCAGTATAATATGTATAACGCTTTTAGGTGCCATTGAAATTGCTAGGTTTGCATTAGTTCCTTTTTCAAAATGTAATTTGACAATGAAACATAAGGGTCTTGATTATTTTTTGACTGTTCTTTTATTTTCCTTAATCTGTAAACAATTGGGATTACCTCTATCTCCCAACCTAATGGCTTAGCTGTACCTGATGCTATCATGCACACAGTCACATCAACTTCGGATGTTTTGGATATAATGGATATTGGACTAAACAACAGGGCTGTTAGTTCTACAGCCATGAATGAAAGAAGTAGCCGCTCTCACAGGTTCTTACTTTTAATATTTTGAAGGGTTGCCTCCTATTTAAATTTCAAAGCATTATGATTTAGATTTGCATGTCCAGCATTGTCACTATTCATGTTCGTGGGAAGGATTTGAAGACTGGTGCTCTTTTGTATGGCAATCTCCATTTGGTAGATCTTGCAGGAAGTGAAAGGGTAGATCGATCTGAGGTGACTGGCATGGAGCTTAAAGAAGCACAACACATAAACAAATCACTTGCTGCCCTTGGAGATGTAATTTTTGCTCTTTCACAAAAGAGTTCTCATGTGCCTTATAGAAACAGCAAGTTGACTCAAGTACTTCAAAGCTCTCTTGGTACTTCTCTCATCTATTGTTAAATTATCTAGTTTTTTTCTTGTTTAGTAAGATAATCTGCTTTAATTGCTTAGACACTACAATAAAAGAGTTTACCTAAAATATATTGCTTCAAAAACACCAAATATATTACTTCTAAAATTATATATCCTCATTTTGCTCTCAGGTGGTCAAGCAAAGACCCTTATGTTTGTGCAGCTAAATCCTGATGCCACTTCATATTCTGAAAGTATGAGTACATTGAAGTTTGCAGAAAGGGTCTCTGGAGTAGAGCTAGGTGCTGCAAAAAGTAGCAAAGATGGGAGGGATGTTCGCGAACTAATGGGGCAGGTTAGTGTTTGACTTTTTTCTAGATTTGGTTTTTTATTTTTATTTTTATTTTTTTAGACAAAAAGGTGTTCAATCAAACGATTGGTCACAAATAAGGTATTGTTGTTTCCTTCAAAGATCAAAGGTCCAAAATTAAGACTAATTGTATCATCAAGGGGTGCTAACATAATAAGTCTTGGTTTTAGTGTTATTTTCAACAAACTAAAAACATTGTACTTGGTGCCAACGACTTAAGTAACTCAGTTGTAATCTCCTTTTGCTAGAAATAAAAGGTCCTAAGTTCAAGTCACATAGCATATGGGTGGGGTGGGATAAGGGATAAGAGAAGGTTGCCGCCTGTTGTGCAATAAAAAAAAAAAAACCATTGTACTTGGTATTAAGCTTATTTACGTAGAAGCACACTAGAAAACTACACACAATTTTAAACTTAAAAGATACTTGGAAGATAAGCAATATTGGGTAGAGAAGCTAAGAGCCTATGGCTTAGAAAAGGCATCAAAATGAAAGACAGTTCTTGAATGATGCAATTCCTTTTCTTCATGGATCTACAAATAATGTTAGCTATTAAATAGCACAAAAGTTTATTCTATAGTAGAATTATACTAACAAAACATTTCCTGAAAAAAGGTCTTGCATATGATAACTTCTAAAATATAGAAGAGCATTCATAAGATTAATTACAATCCTAGTATTTGCTTTCCAAGATTACATTATAACAAATATCCCAAAACTAAAGACCATGGAAATATGTGTTACCCTCTATTTTCTGAACAGGAATACTTCTGGCTAGTCTGCTTTTGCCCTTCATATTTTTGTGTTCTAATTAGCTAACTATATAGGTGTCATCTCTCAAAGATACAATAGCAAGAAAAGATGATGAGATTGAGAGGTTGCAATTACTTAAAAATCTCAAAAATGTTCACTCTGGTGTCAATAATGAGGGGCAAAGAACAGGGTTGTCGAGACATGCATTATCCTCATCAAGAGGCATACAATTAAGTGTGAAAGGCTCAGGTTTGGATCTTGATAACTGTTCAGAGTATAGTGATAAGCGTTCTGAAGCTGATTCTCAACAGTCTATGGATGATGAAAGGTTAAGTGACATATCTGATGGTGGTGTTTCTGTGGGAACAGAACCTGATGGCTTTACTGACAATGTTTATTCTCCTAGAGGCACGAAGCTATCGGATAATTTGGACAAGTGAGTTTGCTTTATCTTCCTAAAGTTTTAGCAGCTGCTCTAGAACTGCTCACATGATAAATTAACTTAAATTTTGATGCAGATCTAAATCAATGCCTAGGAGTCCTCGACTCTTGCAGAAACCAGGGCATATTGCAACAACATCAAAGGACTCCTTGGGGAAATCACCAAGTATGTCTAGTTAAAGTTATATAATTTGGTTGTTATTTTTCTATTGGAGGATAAATATGAGCAGAGTTTGGAGATCTCATTACATAATAATTAAACTCCTAATATTCTTCTCTTTAATTGTTTCTTTCAGGTGTTAAAAGGAGTGTAAGCTCCTCCTCACTCAAACCAACTAAACGATGGGGGTAAACATGATGATAGTAGTTGCTATTTTATTACTTGTCATTCTTTTCATCTCTCCTATATTATGACTATGTTGCAATTTTCTTGTGCTCTTCTTAAGTTTAGGCTTTGCCCTTCTACGTAGTGGTCTCATAGCAGGAAGATTTGAATAAATTGGAATTTGATACAATTTTTGAGATTGTGATACAATTCTTTTCTCCTAGATCATAACTGTAATTAATTTTCAAATTCATGGATCTTGCCTTGTAGATGTGTAAATCATGTATATATATCCAAGTTCCAATCTTTGGCAATGTAATGCATAAATAACATCTATTATTGATTAAGTTATGCTCTTTTTGGTTCCACACTAGCTTGTTTATATGCTTTTATGAACAATTTTTTTTTTCCAAATACTGTAAGTCCCATTTTCAGTATGGTAGATGATAAGGAGTGCTTGGAAGGCAAATTGTCTTTCAACATACTTGACAACATTCATTTTTCTCCTATTGTGTGTGTGTGTGCGATTTTTTTTTTTTTTTTGCCTTTTTAATGTCACAAGAAAATCTATACAATGCAATTAGAAGGTAGAATTCACAACTTTTAGGATATGAGGTCTTGGTGTTAGTGGTTGCCATTAGGCCAAAAACCTTATCAGTTTTAGAGCTTTTTTTTTTTACTTAACTTATTTATTCTTTGACTTTAATTTAAAGTTTAAGGCTTTATTTGCTTTAACTATTCCTATAGAACAATTGATATTAGTTTAAAATCAACTTATAGGCTATGATGTCTCTTAATACTCTAACCAACATATATTGTCTTGATGTATTTTTTTTTTTCAATCACAATAAGATTTAATGAATTTATAACTGTAATGTTGATGGAATAAAATTATTGGAATATGTTAAAATTAAAAGCTGAAATTTTACATTTTTGAACTTAAAAGCGAAATTTAAGATTTATATGGGCAAATAGTGAAGCAAATTCTTAAAATAGCATTTTGGGTAAAATAATATTTTATGGATAAGGGGATAGAAGATGAAAGCAAGAATAAAGAAGACTTAAAACAATGTCAGTGTCATGCAAATGCCAATGGATGAATTAGATTAATGGATAGTTTAATGGTTTGAGAGTAATAGTTGCAAAAACCCACAAACAACAATTAACATTCTTACGAGATGTTGGGACATCAATAACGTGGGTGATGGAAGCTGTTGGGAGTCATTCATACAACACAATAATTTATTCACATAAGAGAATGTGCAAGCAAGATGGGAAAT